TTTTTTTTTTTTTTGTCAGGTGGGGAAATGGATGGAAAAGTCCGGAGTAGTGTGGGACTCTCACCCACTAAAACCCCACCTGAGGCTTCGGCTTCTAGGGCCATTCGCCTTTATACATACTTTTACACAGAAAAGGATGACTATATAAGTACAATGGGACAGAAACGGATCTAGTTACATTTATTAACATACAAAACCAACAATTTAAAAATATCATAGATCATTTGCTATACCAATTCTTTGGATGAAGGCAAGAGTATTTTTACATTGCTCTTTGTTTTTAAAGTTATTTTCCCATGCAGGGTCGATATTAAAGAGCACACGTACATCTGTGTACTGCGGACAGACAGAAATAATATGATGTGGTGTTAAAATAACACCACATTGTTCGCATAGTGGCCGTTCTTCGCCCTCCAACAAATATCCATGAGTGAGGGCAGTATGCCCCAGCCGGAGTCTGTACAGCCTGATCAAGTTCAAACGCCCAACGTCGATATAAAATAGCGGATCCAGACTCTGTTTGATCTTCTTCAAAGCCGTATCAGTCTCCGACCACTGTTCACTCCACCGCTCCTAAATTTTCGTCTTCACAAGTTCACGTCGTGCAATAGATGACATATTCGTAAAGTCAACGTTATCCAGTTGGAGATAGTTTAATACCTCTCTAGCTCTAACATCTAACGATCTACATCTATTTAGCCGAGCAATTGTAGTTGCATCAGTAAGTGATATAAAATTTGGATGTTTATCATCTATCCTTACTTTTATATAATAGTTTGTAACAATCTGTTTCCGGCGTAGAGCTAGAGGGGGAATATTTGCCTCGACGTGGAGCGATGTTACCGGACTTGTTGGATATGCTCCCAAAGAGTAGCGAATGGCCAGGTTCTGAATCTTGTCAAGTTTCTCAAGCAAAGTATTACTGCCACATGTAGAGTACGCTGCACATCCATAATCCATCCTTGACAGGATGAGGGCCTTATAAATATCTAGGAGGGTCTTAGGGTGAGCTCCCCACCTATGATGAGCTAGAACTCTCATAATGTTCAGCGATTTTCTACATGTAGCCACAACATTCTCCAAATGCTTTGACCATCTTAATCCCCTATCAAAGGTAAGTCCGAGGAACTTGACTTCTTGGACAACACTGATTATACGATTGTTCATAAACAAAACGGGGTCATAGTGGGGCTTACGGAGTCGACAAAAGTGAACAACCTTTGTCTTCTCCTCCGACAGCACGTACCCGACAGCAATGGCGTTATGACAAATGATGTTAATTGCCGTTTGTAGGTTTCGAGTTATTGTGCCAACCGTCTTACCAGAACAACAAACCATTAAATCGTCTACGTATAAGCATTTATCAATTGAATCCTCAACACCTTTGGCTATTTCATTTATGGCGATGCCGAACAGGGAACAACTGAGTGTTGACCCCTGCGGCACACCATTTTCTAAAACATACTCTTTGGAGTTGATATCGCCGATTCTTACACAGAACTTCCTATCCTCTAAAAAGGATTTTATAAATTTAGGTAAATTCCCTCGAAGATTGTATTTATACATATTTTGCATTATTCCATATCTCCAAGTCATGTCATAAGCACCTTTTATATCGAAGAAGACCGCAACCAGATGTTCACCACTGTCAAATGCCCTCAGAATTCTGTCTGTCAGTTTGACCAGATGGTCTACCGTTGACCGTCCTTTCCGAAAACCAGTTTGGTAAGGCACGTATGCGTTATTGCTTTCGAGAAATGTTTGTAGCCGCACATTAACCATTTTTTCTAGCAGTTTTCCCAAGCAAGATGTCAAACTAATTGGGCGATAACTTTGTGCCTGCAACGGATCTTTTCCTGGTTTCGGTATAAGAATTACGATGGCTTGCTTCCATTCTGAGGGGTAGGTAGAATCATTCCAGCAGTTGTTGAAGAATCTTAAGATGGTATTTTTCATTTCAGAACTACAGTGGCGAAGCGAAGCATCTGGTTATGGATAGCGTCTTCTCCCGGTGAACATGACTTGGTGTTACGGATTGCTGCCTCCAATTCTTCTACAGTAAAAGGTACGTTGCAGTTCTGTATATCATCTGTGTTAAAGTCAATTAATACTGCTTCTTTTTCAGGTTTGGTATCTAGAAAGGTGTTGGAATAGTTTGACGAGCTACTGACTTTATAGAACTGATCTGCAACTATGTTAGTTATGTCTTGCAGTTTATTGGTAATTATTCCATCGGAATTGCGCAAAAACACCGGATAACTGCAGCTGTTTTTTCCAGATATAGCTCCGACTTTCTTCCAGACATCATTACTGGTAGTCTCTGGTGTCATGGTTGTTACATAATGTTGCCATGAAATTCTTTGGGCTTCTAGTATTCCCCTACGACACTGAGATCTTCGTTTTTTGAACTCTACAAGATTCTCCAACGTAGGATTTCGACGAAATTTATTTAGAGCTTTTTTCTTTAATGCTATTTTTTCTTTGATTTCAGGTGACCACCACGGGACCATCTTTCGCCTATTGCCAGGTTTAGATTTAGATATGCTGGCGTCAGCAGCGTTTATGATGGAAGAGGTAATGGTTTTAACATTTACATTGTCTTGATTAGGAGGGACGAGGACTTGTGTGAAGAGTTCCCAATTTGCTAATTTTGAAGTTGCATCTCTTCGACCCACTAAAACTGATTTAGCAGTGGAGACCGGGAGGCGTATTGCCAATGTGTTGTACAACACAGAGCGATCCATTTTCTGCAGTGCTCTATGCTTTGGCGATGGTATACTCAATGGCCCGTGTGAGTAAAAGGGAGCATAGGCTTATACTTGCAAAATTCAAAGTAAATACTCGTAACTGCCCCTTCATACTGGTCTGTTTAGCATGGTTTAGCAGCGCTGCACTGCGTCCTGTCCTGCTGCTCAGCAGCGCTGCTAAGTCGCCCAGTGTGAAGGAGCACATCCGACTATTTACTTTGAATTTTGCAAGTATAGGCATATGCTCCCTTTTATTCATTTGGGCCAATAGGTAGTATGACAATCCATCGTTCGCTACAGATCACATTATAATAACGTATCAAAGAATAACATCTCATTCTTTGAAAAAACATCCAATCACATAGTTGCTTTGTAATACCGGCCGTAAGTGAGTCTTAGTTCAAATGCTAGCTTGGGCATTGAAATTGAACACCATGATTCACGCTGTTAGATTAATGCTTTCGTTGAAACGATACCAATCTCTATCAATATTGTTTTGTATATTCTTCCACGACCATCTTGCTATTTTAGACCAGTCCTTACAAATAACAGCATAGTTGACTTTTGTGTATCATCTCCGCCGACTAGACGAACAATATTGAAAATTTGGCACTACGAAACAATGTGGAGATTATGGAGCAGAAAAAACGAGTTGCACTTCTTATTTATGGAGCTCTTATTCAAAACCATTGAGAAGCAGGTAGGATTGGCATTGGTATAAAACAATAAATTTTAGGTTATGGCTTTTTTCATCATTGCTCAAAGTCAATAAGTAGTTTTATTAAAAATTACCCAATTTACGCAATTACAATCAAAACAATTCTATCGTTTCGTGCAAGTCGCGTATATAATGAACAATTACATAACTGTATTGGTCCATCACAATGTCAAAGGTGATAGTGATAATACAATCTGTATGAAGATATATAAATATCTATGTAATTGACAACATATGGTATCTGTTTAATTCCCGGTTCTTCTACTGCACAATGAAGGGTATTTTTTACGTCTTATCTTTTTTTCTACCACTATTGGTAAGCATTTCATCAAATAACTGCATGTACTTACATACTTTTAAAACATGATACCAAAACAGGTCGCAGACCCTGTGAAAGACGAAGATGTTTGTCTTAACAAGCTCTATTTAGATAAAGATGTTATGAAACCCCTACTAGAGCAAGTTATTCATCCAGTTGAGGAAAGTGTCGATTACAACGCATTTCTCGAGTGCTTTTGGAAAAGAATTGGGTACATGGATGAACGTGGTGATCTGTATTGGGACGATATCAGGGTTGACTATGAAGCTAAGTTTGGAAAAAGTGATCAGTTGATGCGTGTTGTTGTACATTGCAAAAAACAACACCTACAGGGCAATAACCATGGCGAAACAGCTGTAAAAAATCAGAATTGTCTGATGCAGGGTGCTGTGGACTATCATTTAGTGGGGTAGTTCAAAGAATTACTAGTTATACTTATAAGTTATTGCAGCAGTTTAGTATAATAAAGATTATTTTTATGTGTTCTACCTATATAGTGTATCCAAGGTAACACTGAACGGCATGGAGAAATCGGAAACCATAAGAGATAGACAGTTGGTTAAATTTGAAAAAAGATGAATATTTGAAAGCTTAGTAAAATGATGTAAAAATTCGGAAATTTATATTTTATATAGATAGAAAAAAAATAGGTAGGTACTGTATTGGGTAGCATTTTTTTATTACGAATACAATGATGTCTGGCGCAATATGATTCAGAAATCATCAATGAATTATTTTGACATTTTATCAACACCAGAATGTTAAAAATTGGTTATTATTCAAGTCAGCAAAAAGGCTGGTTATTAACACTTGATCACACAAATATGTATGATACAGTAAAATTCAGTGTTCAAGTCAATAGGAACGATCTTTTAAAGTAAATATCTTGGACTATAAACTATCGGTTTCTTTATAACTCAATTCATTAGATTAAGTAATTGATACAAAAATAATTTATAAATAAAATAATTTCTGAAGCATCCTTGGGAAATAAACATTGGAGATTGCTAGCAAAAATTGACTTTGGACCTTCGATTTACGCGATTATAGTGTCTTTGTCCCAAATTTGCGCTATATCATAATTAACGTATCTGATTATTAAGCAACAAACTTCGTAAAGTACCAATACAATATAGTTTTGACAAAAGCCAATCTAAAATAACGTTCTCACACCATTCCTTCTGCACGTTTCGAACAGAAACACATTATGTACTTTAGATATTACAATTTCTAGTCAATAAGATTGGGGATATCAGATCAATATCCAGAAGAAATGTTATTTTTTGCATGATGCACAAACTAAAAATACCACAAAAACTTGTATTTTCTTCATCTTTTATTATTGTAATTTAGAATAGTGCAATCAAAATTTAATTTGAAACAAAAATTAATTAATTTTTTTGGTGAATAGATCATCGTTTGAAATAAAATAAATATATCCTTATTTATCAATTGGTTCTATGTTCAAGAACACAGCCTAGCGATTTGCACACAATCGTATTGTTTATTGTAATGAAAGATCTAAAAATTTCAATTAAATGGTTTATTAACCAGCTCCTAGCAAGTTCATAATTTGGGGGTGTCTGTCCGTCTGCCCGTCTGTCCGTTAGCACGACATCTAGAAAATGAATAGACCGATTACGTTGAAATTTTGTTGGTAGTTTCTTTATCAAATTTTTAGAACGCAGTTCGTGAATTGGCAATGTAGGCCAAAAAATAAGGAAGGCCATTTTGTTATTCCCGTTAGTTATGAACCGAATTGCATGCCATTCCAATTGGGCATAGCCAGTACCATATCAAGTGTAATGTCGCCGCTTTGGCACTTTTGATTATGTATCGTCAAGGCTTAACTCGTGCATGTTCTAGTATTAGCATATTCAAATAATGTCTCTATCCAGCAACAAGGCCCGCTCAGTTTGAATCTCACGCAATTCGGTTCATAACTAACGTAGATTTGACTATTTTTTGGCTTGCATTGCCAAATCACGAACTCCGATCTATAAATTTGAAAAAAAAATCCACCTGCACAATTTCATTGTACTTAATCAGTCTATCCATTCTCCTTTATTGATTGACATGAAGCCATCGGGCGTGCTGGCGTCGGACGATTAGGATAAAGCATATAAGCGTCTCGCTTAGCAACTCGAGGCTAAAAAATCTTATACGTTTAAGAGCAATCTTTAAACATGTAATGGAACTGAATTATCCCGCTAAAATTCTATGTAAATATTCCCGAATCCGAGCCTGGCGCGTTGAAAAAGGTCAAGATTGCGCTTTGTTTCGTTTTCGTGGAACACGTGTTTTTTTCTTCTCTGCTCTACATTGAAATGGGCCATAATTTACAATAAAAGTGTCAAATATTACGCTATGCGAGAAAACTTAATGATCCGTATCGACCCGTCTCGAGGCACGTTCGATATTAAGAACTGTTTTCGTCTAGGATTTGCCTGCAAAGGGGAAATTTAGGCAGAAGTATGTGTGCTTTTGTTGTGACCAGAAGTAAATCTTTACGTTGCGAATAGTGAGTGCAGCTTCGACAATTGCAAAGGTGATGTACTCGTTTTATTTATCTCTACGTCTATTGCATCCCTCTGGTAACGATATGACCGTGTTGGGTTGTTTGCCAATTTAATTTTATTCTCGTACAGCATTGATTTGTGCCATTTATAACACATTCCAGATACCAATTGTAGTTTTAATTGTACCAGGCCTACTGGGTAATTTCTGACCGATTTACGTGTTTTTATTTATATTTAGATACTGTATGTTCCCTTAGGGGCGGTCTCCAATACAAGTATGCAGAACTACATTTTATTTTATAATTGAATTTATTGCAGCACATTTCGCTTTTGTTTACCTGATTATGTTACTGTGTATTTACAGGGTGCCTCATCTGGGGGCGAGTGACGTACGTTAGGTGGTTGATTGTTACATATTGCACTTGGCATTGTGAATTAATTACTTTTGATACCAATGTTTGCCACGACATGTTCCTTTGTATTGTTGTAATGTGATTGTACTAAAATTTATGCTCCTACTATTTATTTGAACCGGGTGATTATGATTATTAATATTTGGCAGGGTGACTTGTTTCGAATATGTACTGTGCTATATTTGATACCGATATTTAATATCTCGATTTGACGTAGCAGAGGCTGGCTAAAGTTCAGAACTGACATACGCAGAGATATATATTTTATGTACTGTTTTTTTGTGTTGTGTCTTTGAAAAGAGCCATCTTGCCGATATTGCTAATCAATTCGTTTAATCGATCCCTGTCATGTAGTGACCGAATATTGGTTTTGTGTCAGTTTTTGTTATGCCAGTGCAAATATGTGGACTGTCAACACCTACATGAATTGTGTATATTTTGTTTATAATTATGTATGCGTGCGAGTTTGCCGTTGGTTACTCTGTTATTTATGCTATGTCATGATTTGTCATTTGATCGGTTATTGTCAGTACTCATGGTAGAGAACCTGGAGTTCGGTAATTTATAACCCGGCATTTTAAGACTAGTGAGTTGGACTGGCCCTAGAGATGTATGAATGAAAGAGTTGGGATCCCGCTAGTCGTACATGGGGCTGCCGGCTAAGCCCGGCCTCACTTGCGCAGGGATTCGCTAAAAGCGTGTGGCGTGTTCTCGTTGTGACCTTATGGTTGTGTTAAACAACTATATCCTTCCTATGTGAAAGGCTCTTCTGAGAGGCCAACTCCTAGCGATTTCATACAATGTTGACATGTCATGACCAGAGCAACTAATGACTACTCGGTGTGGGATTTGGACTGGCCATCCAATATCCAAATCTATTATATGAATTTATTGTAATGTTTTAATGATTGTTTTTTTGTTATGTGTGTGTAATATTTATCCTTTAGGAATTCCAGTGGAGCCTGGGATTCGACATTGCATTGCTGTACTTGACAACATGCATTCCTGCCCTTACAGATAACTAATTTTGCTATAAAGTTCAATATTAATGTGTTGGCTGGTTTTTTTCTTGGTCAGTTCTTTTTTTCCCAGCCTATTTTTATATTTGTACTCGGTGAACTACCATTTTCTAAATTTAATCTTGATTTGGATTAAATCTCCGTTTTTAAAGCATGTACTTGTTTTATTTGTAATCCTTACTTGATCCTCACTCCGACAGGCAGCACATATCTTGTAGCGACTCTTAAAAACACAACGTAGTAAGTGGTTCTATTATTTGGTTATTCAGGTTAGGTAGCTTTGTCTAGACGATCACGTGCCATGGGGTTCAGTTAGTTTGGGAGGGAAAGTTTTGAATTTAAATCTTGAGTTGCGCAGTCCCTCGGGACTGGCCTGGGTACACTACAAACATTTAAATACCTATACCAGTTTTGAGTTTGATAGTGTCTAGTTTACATGTCATACCTGCTTTTAAAGCAGGGGAAATCTTTCTAGCGGAGTACTGTGTTATAAAGAACCCCCAGTTTCAATGCGGTCAGCTTTTGTATATGAGGCACATATTTTCAGATTAAATTTGACCGCGATTAGAAGTTACTAAAAAAACATTGAAAACTTCCGAATTCATCAATACTTATAAGAGACGGTAAAGAAGTTGACTATGAAATGCATACTGTGAGAGGACCAAAGGGAAAAATATGTCTATCGAACCGATGTCAGGTAAGTTGTGCTTACCTTGTGGAAATATGATCGCAAAATTAAATTTACATTTATATCACTACTACATGTATTTTGTAATGCAAATAGCAGGGAATTGGTTTACAAATCGTGTGGATTTCTCATCGAGTTGTTTCAAAATACAATCGAAGCAGATGAACTTTAATAATCTAAGGTTATTGGTAGAATTCCAATAAAGAGGAACGTGACTAGATACACGGCAACGCAAATAAAATTAGTACATATTGTAATGCATGTATGAGAGATGTATACGAATAATAATCAAAAGATATAAATTCAGAGGTTCCTAGAGCTTTTTGGCTGAAAAAGGTCTTATAGACTTTTCAGTACCTACTAGTATTATATTATACTCAGTATATGCTCTTGATTCCACTGGATTTTGTCAAGGCATCTTTAGTCAGTAAATGAAATTTCAGCACTAGTTCCTACGCATGCGTTACTATTAAAACTTTAACTTTGATGAATTGTTATTCACATTACCGGAAATGAACAGGATGATAATTTCTTATTAACAATAAACTAAAACTCATAAGTATTAAATTTTTCATCCATACAAAAGTAAAAATATTCGAATCGATAAGAATTGTTTTTATCAGTGTAAAAATGTTTAAGACGTAGTGTAGTTTATCAGCCTGCGTATGTGACATTCGGCACACTTGCAAGTTATTAAAGCCATTCATAAATAGCAATGGCATCATTATTTTTTTTGTTAAAATGTTCAACGTGGAAATTAAGAGTTTTTCGATTCACTGAGCCGTAGAATACACGTAGGTACTTCATAATGTCAATATTGTTTAGCAGCTACATATTTGAATCTTTAAATTTGCGAAAACAAAATGTTTTAAATGGAAATCGACCAGTCATGTGTATCATTATAAAACGCAAAATGTATA